TATTTGTTAATTTAGCTGATTTATGAGCTTTAAAGTGAAAGTGATGATATGTACATATCTTACAGTGAACTAAGAAGGAAACAGTACTTTTTACATATTCTTAAACATGTAGAAAGTATAAATTTCACTAAAAGATCTTTGACAGGGCATTTTTTATTCACTGGATATTTCAATGGACCAGCAGTTAGGAACCACTACAGAAAGGTATTGACATAGTCAGCAATACTATCTACTAGAATAATACCATTGTCAGCAATGAACTATCCACTAGATTTGTTTCACTGTCACAAACAAACTATCTAATAACAATGTTATCAACAATGAACAACCTGCAATAGGATAATGCTAATGTTACTGTCATAACAATATATCTAGCAACAAGTTATTTAACTCGCCATACACAGGTTTAGTTATTTTGGCAGACCTTGTAAACACCAAGTAAACATGAAATTATATGTACTATAACTTTTAATATAATAAGTGTATCTTTGTGAAATTAGAATTTTTGATAAAGTATTTCTACTAGCGATTTGTCTCTGAATTTACCTTAGTCAGTTTGAACAGTCTGAGTTGCAATGCGAGTTTCATATCAAGAATAGAAATACTTTTTTCATCTTATAGTTTTCAAATGTCATTTGCATAACTGCTAAAACTTCCTAAATGAATATCAAAGTGTTTTTTTACAGTAGAACTTTATGTTTTATCTTTATTTTCTCTACCCTAACACTAAACAGACTTGGTCTATTTGATCAAACTTGTAACCACCACAAAAAATATGAAATAAATCTAAATTACATTTTGTTTTTTTTTTAGAATGATTGTATGTTGGAACAGAAAATTACAGGCTTTTAAAAGTTTATATCTGTTTTTATTTAATTTTATTGTTTTACTACTCTGTGTCTAACTATTAAACCTGCATAATTAGCTAGCAATTACCTGCCAAATGCACGGCTCAAGTTATTGTATTAAATTATGTAAAGTACAAGCTTCTCTGCAAGGTATTTTTTATTTAGTTTTTTTTAAATTTATGTTTCTTATGTAGCCTAACTTTTGTAATTTAGTTACTTTTATAGCAATCAATAAAAAATATATGCCAACAAATTTAGTTCTTACATCAGAAATCTTGTTTTTTACTCATATGATAGAAGTTCACACAAACAATAACTGTAATTTTTTTTGTAACATTAGTGTGTTCTCAGAATTTTTTTTAAAACTCAATTTGTAATTCAGAATATGAAATGTCTTAAAGCTAATATAATTTATTCAGCTTTCTAATGAAGCTAGAAATTGGTTTAATAATTAAGATACCTGTTCAAACAGAGTTTCAATGCTGATGAAAAGAGAAAGGGTCAAAAGAGCCTTAAAAACTGGTTGGCCATATGTTTGCTGTCCTTTTCCCATTCAGGAAATTGTAATCTTCTCATTCTATTGGGTATAAATAATCAAAAAGCAAATGTCCTAGAGAATTACTGACATTTTTGAAAGGCAAGTGGTAAGATGGGTGTGGCATGTGGGTATGACTTTCTGGTGTATATTTCTATAAAGTAAGAAGCATAGAGGTTATAAATTTACATTTTAGCTTGGAATGTCTAATATATAGATGTGTAATCAGAAACTTAAAAAATTATATAGGTGTGAAAAGTTAATCTAAAATTGGTAATTTTAGATCACAAGAGTCATGTGATACCGAGAAGTGAAGATTGATAATTTGTTTAAATATTTCTTTTTAAAATTAGGAATTACTTCTATAATATAAACATTAGAATTATAAACTACACTTTGATGCCAAGTGGACTGATATATGTTGGTAATATAATTGTTTAATTAAATCTTGAATATGCACATCACAACCTTTTTAGAGTCACATTCAAGATTTAACTAAACAATTAAAAGGTTAATATCACTATAAGCAACAAACCATCATTTAGGGTATTACCTCTCTCAAGAACAAAAACCTATCCACTAGTTTAACATCTCTGTTATAACAAACTATTCTGTAGGATATTACCACTGTCATAACAAACTATCCACTAGGTTAATACTACAGTCAGCAACATGCTATTCACTGGATGTTACCACTTTCTACAGCACTATTATTAGGATATTCTCATTATGAGCATCAAACTATTCACTAAGATAATACCATAGTCAGCAACACTATTCACTAGGACAGTATTACTGTCAGAGCACTATTCACTACAAAATCAATGTTAGCAACACACTGTTCACTAGGGTAGTTTCACTGTTCATAACAGACTATCCAATAGGATAATCCCACTGTTCGTAACAAATTATCTGATAGGATAATCCCACTGTTCATAACAGACTATTGGATAGGATAATCCCACTGTTCATAACAAATTATGCGATAGGATAATCTCACTGTAGCAACAACCTATGCATCCAAAAGGGTAATACCATTTTCAGTACCAAATATTATTGGAAAAACTGTTACTGATCAGCAGTAATTTAACACCTTTATACCACTATTAATGTCAAAAATTTGTTTTATTGTTATTAGTACCACTTAATTGCTTTATCAACACCAGTTTTTATTTAGGATATCAACATTGTCAACTGCTGTCTGTTTATTAAGAGTATATCACTTTCAATTTAACTCTGTCATCTGTTTTAATACTATAGTTGATACTAGTCTATTCACTAAGGTAATACCATTTTAGACAGCATTCTTCTCACTAGGTTCATAATACTGTCAATATCATTTTACTTTCTGTGCTAATGATAACCTTTTCCCTAGGCTAAAAATATTTTTGTCACTGGTCTATTCACTAGGCAAATAATACTCTCAATACCAGTTTATTCACTTTATTTATTTATTTTACTGTCAACAATATTTTATTCACTAATTTAATAATAATGTATATACCCATCTATTCATTAAATTAATATCACTGCAAAGATAAATATTTCTAGTATGCTAATAATACTGTCAATGCTAGTAAAGTCACAAGACAAATAATATTGTCAGTATCAGTTTAAGCCAATAATATTGTCAATACCAGACCTTTCAATAAGTTATTAATACTTTTATCACTTGTCTATTCATGAAGTTAATAATATTGTCAATACCATTATATTCATTAGGCTAACAGTACTGTCTTGAAATTTATGTGCTAGTATTGTTTGATGACATCTGCATAGCTTAACATTGGAACATTCTCCAAAGTTTTAAAACACTGAGTTAGGCTGCAGTAAATTGATTATTGAGCCTGTTAGAGTGACTGAGCCAGATATAAAGACTGAATTAGGCTTGAATAGATTGATTATCGAGCCTGTTAGAGTGACTTGTTGAGTTAGTTAGTATGTTAATGGATTATTTGTGCATGATCTACTTAGTTTGTCTGTTGCTGTCAACCATTTAGGCAGTTCACTGCTGTAAATTTTGAGCCTGTATTTGTGACAATGTACAAGCAATATTTCTCTTTAGATGTTATTTATTTGTGAAGTTAGGCCTACTGTTGATTGTGTACAACCTTGGAACTGGTAAATGTTATAACTTTTAGTCAAAGAAATAAAATTATTTTGTTATCATTAAGTGGACTGGGCTTAGCATTCTTCTTGTACCAGTTAGTTAAAAAAAATACTTCAATGATATAAGCTTTACAACAGTCCTGTAAATCCATGTTTATTTTCACAGCCAATAATACTGCTAATATCAGTATATATATTCCTTAGGTTAATAATATTGTTAAACCTGCCAACACTTGCAACAGCAGTTTAGTGACTAGAATAAAATCACTGTTATAGTGCTGCACCATCATTCCATTCCTGTTTGTACCATTGTCAACATCTAATTTCTTGTCTAATTTCATTCTACCCAGTAGTTTGTTCACAAGGTTTATGCCATTGTCAACACCTCTCTATTCCTTAAGTGTCAACCAGAGGAAACTTTAGTCTACTCTCTAGCTAAACTCCAGCATCAGAAGTAATCTGCTGGTTAGGTTTTTTATCACTGTTTTGTCTGAGTGTTCTCCATGTTTATTTAACTGTCCTTTCACAAGGTTTTTAATAATGTTAAAAACATTCTAGCAATATTATTATTCTAATTCGATGATGAGGAACCCACTTTGAGACTATTAATGCTTGGAGACAGCTTGAATGGGTTATGAAGAAAAACTTTAATATAAGTTTAACATAACAGCAAATGTACAATGTTTCGACAAGGTTTTCTCATTATCAGGTACAAGTAATTTACACTGACATGGATATATATATACAGTATTGAACAAAGAAGTCACATGACCGGAACTGTTGCAAAACTTAGAAGAGGTATCTAGGCACCCCGGGGTGTTGGTTTAGAGTAGGGTTGTTTTGTTCAATTAAGATGGATTCCTTGATTTTTCGTTTGTTTATGTTGGGTTCTTTGTTTAAAATGACTGTGTTTTTAATAGATATAACATTTCAACAAGGTTTTTGTCATCATCATCATTCTGCTTTTATTCATATTATATTTTACACCACTAACAACAGCAGTGACTCTACTAAAATATTAATACTGTTAACACATGCCTGCCTGTCTTGTTCGTTTCTACCTCTTTCAGCTTTAGTCATTCTGTTGGGTTTATACTACAAGCAAAAGGAGTATTCACTAGGATAATACCACTGCCAACAACAGTTTAGTCATTAGCACTGTCAGTATCACTTTAGTCATTTATGATAAAAGCACTGTCAATAACAATTTAATCACTACTAACTGGGATAAAATGACTATCAACAACAGTTCAGTTGTTAAGGTAAAATCACTGTTGACAGGAGTTAACTCACTAAGTTAAAATCATTGTCAATAACAGTTTAATCGTAAAGATAACTTTGATGTCAAGAGCATCCTGTTCACTATGATATTGACAACCAAATTAATTTGGCCCTGCTTGATAATAGTGTAAACTCTGTGTTATCCAAAAGACATAAATGTAATTGTTGTATGAATTTTTTTATTTGGATAAAGTATAATCTACCATAATGTATTGACTCTTTCACAGGATTCAACCAATGCAGAAATTCAACTGGGTGTTACTTCAGTTGGGCTAGTAGTCTTTCAGAACAGTATTAAAATCAATACTTTCTCATGGTAGGTGATTGAACTGTGCTCTTTTTGTAACATGTTGAACATATTAATATGTGGAAGTTATTTTACTGTTATCATTTCAATATTTCTCTTGCATGTCCTTAACAGTAAAGAACATCTTATCCTCTTTAATGAAATATTGGGTGCTTAAAAGTTCATAGTAGTCTATAATGGTAATTTTAAATAAAAAGAGCAGGATTTAATTTAATTGTAGACCAGTATATTGTGGTATTATTGTTGATCTGCAATGTGTAGGCTGAAGTTACTTTTCTTTGAAATACATTGAATTTGAACATTCTTGAAATAATGACCTGTAGTAGAAGATTTGGGATTCTACTCTCTTCTGAATACTAATGTCTAATACAAGTTTAACATTATGGAGAGGGGAAGCATTTCATCTTGTGCAAGTTACAAGTACTGTTTCCTAAGAAATTTATTATAAAATTTGAGAAATAATGGTTGTCAGCCCGGTTTTCTCATTTCTGAATTTATGTTGAGCGTTAAAATTATACACATAATATGTAAGTTGAGTACTCAGCTGACTGTTAAATTATTAAACACTAAACTAAATCAAAAACATTCTATATGTTTTCAGTTTTTCAAAGACATTGATAGATAATTATGGTTTATATCTGTTTCTAAAATTGTCAGTTAAACCCTACCAATGCCTTAAATGTTTTACTCAGCAACCTACAACTCTAGTCTTTGAATCTTAGTGAATTTAATTGGGAAAAACACAAAAGCTTTTACCAATTTAATTAGTGTTAAAGTGCCAGTTACTGTTAGTAAGGTCACAGATTCCACATCTCTTCTACAAATAATTTTCTTTTGTTTTAATGAAAAAGTCTGTCAGAATTGTGGTTGATAATATTTTTAAAAATTGTATGGTCTGAATGAAGTCTTCCGAGATATACAGTGTTTTTTCTATATTTATGTATATATGTACAAGATTTAGGCCACATTGCTTTGCCATCATTAAAAAGTAATTGTAGTTTCAAATTGGGCCTTCATGATAAAATTGGAAAATACTGTTAACTCACTCAGTGAAAAGCCATTTAAGCATGTAGAAAAAACATAAGATTTGCAAATTAATGCACTTCTATTCATTGGAAAAAATACTTATTAAAGAATAATTTCTGCAGTTTGATACTAAAAACCCAAAGAAATGTTACAGTGTTTAAACATATTTTTCTACAGTGGCAAGTAACATATTGAGAATAATTTCTAACTGAAGAAACAGAAAGCTTTCCAAGTTGTATGCTTAAATTAATCATAAGTAAGTCAGTCTGTGTATTTCTGGGGTTGCTGTTGTTATTAATAATTTAGTATAAAAACATACTTAACTAACTTATTATATGTGACAATTGCCATTGATAATTGTTTTATAGTAACTAAAATACTAATTTAATTCTGTATATTTTATAGGGTTGATATTATCATTTGTAAGAGTTTATTATAAAATAGCATACTATATAACTTATTATGTTTAATAATTTTGAAAATGTGGTTTCTTTTTATAAATCTTGACATTGTTGATTTAAGAATTGTATTTTTCATTTACAATGATTGAATGTACATTTCAGTTTGTCTTTTCATGTAATTAGGGCCAAAATCGTAAAAATATCTTTCAAAAGGAAGCAGTTTTTTATACAGTTAAGAAAAGAAGGGGTAAGTGTAAAAATTTTCTCATAAAATAGAGAATTACTTTATACAGTTAAGACGAGAAGGGTAAGTGCAGGCTTTGAAATTTATGCAAGTAAAGTGAGATACCAACTTGTGTTGTGTATAAGTCCTAAGTTTTGTGTTTAAGATTTTCACAAAATCCACTAAAACAGGCAAATATATAGCTGCAAAGTCATGTAATTGACTGCTGTTTGTTGTTTACAGTAAATGAGGAAATTGGTCTATGAAACATTGTTTGTGATTAGTGAGTACTCACACAAGCAACTAATATCTTGCTTTATTTAATGTGGATGAAATCATGTTCAAATAACTTTTTGCATGGTGTTGCACATGCTATAAGCACTAGCAGATGATAATTTTATAGCAGACTTTTGTGCAAGAAGAGTTATAATGTTGAAAACAAATTAGAAGAAATAGCATGCTGTGCTGGATTTCTTTAAGACAACTGTTGAGAATGGAAATAAGGTACGTATGACCAATTAGTAAATTAATAATGAATTTAGCCTTATAGCTTGATTAATATTGGCATAATATACATATATTGTTGACTACATTCTGTTAACCTTATTTATATGGATCTGACTATTGTGTTTTGCAGAGTTACATTCAAAACTTAATTAAACAACTTTGCTATCATTTATGTCAATAAAATAACATCAAGTGTAATTTATAATTCGTTTTTATATTATCTGAGTTTTAATTTCTTAATTTCAAAAGAAAATATTTTAAAAAAAGATTTTGAATCTTCACATTTGTTGTTACATGATGTGAGAGTGCTCTCAGTTCTCCTCTTTTAATTTCTATAGCTTTAATGATATAAAACTTGCGCTGTGTAGGGTAAATGTACAGTTTTAATGTCCAAACTTTCCATTTGCTGAGATACCAAAAATATTCCTAACCCACGACAAAAGCCATATCCATCTGTCCTTAACTTTCAAGGCAGTTTTCAAAACCACATTTTATTGTTTTCTATTTCAAGCTTACAACTGTCATTTTGAATTTGGTGACAGAGGATGTTATTTATTGTGTGCTTGGAAACAAAGTAGATGTTCATAGCATTAATTATTATTTTATTTTTTTTCCTATTTATAGCTTAGTTAGAAAGCCAGTTAAATTTTAGACATTCTGTTTTATTTATTTATGTATTACTTATGTTATAAGATGCATGTTTGCAATTAGAAAAATAAGCCTAAGCCTAGCCCAGTCCTCGATTGCAGTATTACTTGCAGCAATCAGTACTTCACTGTACGAGAATCTGCTAATGTATTTCCACTGTAATGTGTTGCTTTTCAGAAATGAAACTGTTCATGGTAAAAGTCAGAAAATATAACCATAAAATTAAAATAAACTATACATGAAAAGGTAAACAGTTGAATCTGTGAAAGGAAGAAATTGAAAATCTAGCAAAATAATGAATTCAAAGAAGAATAAAAAAGGTGGTGTTCATTCTATTACAGTTAGTGTTAGGGTAGAGAAAATAACAGATAAAAATTAAGATATAAATTTTACTTAAAAAGCTTTTGATATTCATTTAGGGCATTCTAGAGATTAACCCTTTCACAACAGGTAGGTAAAGCTTGAAGATAACTTTTATATGCAGAAACATCTGTTAGCTGAGTTCTTGCACAGATCTTAAAATATAACGTTGATAAACGGAAACATTGGCACATGTAGATATATAGATCTTGAAAGTTGAGTTGTTCAAAACTTGGAAATGGTTGATAACTGGTTGATATCATCGTTATATTTTAAGATCTGTTCAAGAACTCAGCTGACAGATGTTTCCGCATAAAAACTATCTTCAAGTTTGTACACCAAAAACCTTTTCAGGTAGGTAAAAGTGTGCGTGCCATGTTGTTTTACAGAGCTACATTGAAAATTTTACTAAACGACTTTGTTATCAGTGTATGTCATTAAACTTGCCATCAAAGTGTAGTTTATAATTGAAATGTTAATATTATATATATTTTTATTTCTTAATTCAAAGAAAATATTTAAAAAATTGCTAAGATTCATTCTTCTGAATCACATGATACATGCATGCTTTTATTTGTGCAGTTAACATTATAATATGCATACAATTTCATGTCTGTAGTGTCTAGCGAATCAGAATCTCAAACTTCAGATATTGACAAACTAGAATGTAAAATAAGAACATCCCACCTTTTTCATTTGATGAGATATTAATATATTTAGCAAACCTACCAGACTAGCCCCATCCTACCATTCATTCTTTTGAAGCCACTTTCTTAGTCATGCCTACCTCTCTTTAAGTACATGTTTCTAACCAATAGAAAGAGCACGTTGTGACCTATGTAAATCTGTTAGTTGTTTGTAAATTTAATGGCGGATGAAGGCATAATTTTCATTAAAATCCTTAAATGTATTGACTCAGTCATTACTCTATACAGTAGTGATATTTTTTTAACCTACATGAACTTACTTAGAAATCCAAGTAAATTACAGTAGTTTTGTAACATGCTATTCTGGTAAGTTATAATTGTTTGTTTTCTAAAATGGATATTTGAAATACACAAAAATTCATTTGTCTTTGCCTCTGTTTGAGAGAATCAGCGACGCTTAGTGCAAAGCACACGAGTACAGATTATTTTCATAACATTGTAATTACTAGAAAACATTGTTTTTATGCATGTTTTTGTTTATTTTTTTATGTTTAAACAACAATAATTTAAATTTAAGCATTTATGAGTAAATAGTGATAATATATATATATAAAATAGTAATTTATGGTAACTGAAATGTCACTGTATTTTGCAAAATACTGGTATGCTGCTTAGAAATTTGTATTTTGTGGGCCAGGAGCAAAAAATTTATTAGAACAGTCAATAAAATAAAATTATACATGACACATAAGAACACTGTACATTCTAAACTGTATGAGTCTTAGAATCACTGAAGAAAAGTTATACAAACTTGTATATAAAAATGTATGCAAATGTTGACACATGATAAAAAGGAACACCACAATGAAAGGATGAAAAATTGGGAAGGCCTTTCATAAAACAGAGTTGTTTATATAAAACTGTATCAATGAATGAAGATTTATATAGATATATATTTCACTAAAATCATTTTAGAAAACTGCAAAGTCTTACTTCATCATAAACTGATCTTGACAAATCATGAATATATTATTGTACATACAAAAGTATATGAATCAATGAAAAGTGATACAAAAATATCTCGGCTAATAGAAAACAGTCATTGTAAAACTAAAAAAAAAAAAATTCCCACAAAGTTCCATAGAACAAAAGTTGTGGACAAGTTTCAGAAAATACTGTTATAGAATAAATGTTAAACAAATAATAAAATAAGGAAAGGTGATGTTTCTGTCAAAGATAGTTTAGCTTAGTGAAAGGAAAAATAGAAAATTGGGAAAGGAAAAGAGCAGACAGTTTTATGCAGTACATAAAATGTGGAGCTCTTATAACTGATATTTTGACATTTTTTATGTGGATTGATCATGCAAAGAAATCAGCATTGATCATTTCAGCAGTTTATGTACTACATAAAAGCTTAATCTCATTGAAGAGTAACAATGGTATGGTACTCTTCAAAATGCCTCATAAAAATGGTCTCAAGACAGTTTTACACTGCTGCTGTACCTTAGTTTCTGAGAGCCACAATCTGAATCTTTTCTTTTCACTTTTCACAAAAACTGTTGGGAAGTGCTTGCCAAGAGAGAGTCTCAGTGGTGAAGACTCCTGCAGAGTTCTTGAGGATAGTATACCAGAAGTACCTGGTCTGTTTTGAAGTAAAGGTCCAACTAAGCAGTGATCAAGTCCATTCTGAAGACCTTCTGGAATAATTCTGACTGGTTGGTCTATGTCTTGTAAATTATATATGAATTCACAATTATCAAATCTAAAAAGCAGTTTATTTTACCATTTTACTGCCTTTCATTCAATAAAACAGTAGCTTAAATATTGGCCATTCTGGTCCACCCCTCCAATATGCTTGTAGTAGTACACAATTAAATGAGGTTTTTTAATTTCAGGAACCCTCAATCTTCTTGTCACAGTTGCCATAGTAGTAGAGTGTAAACTTGAAAGTGTGTAAACATCTTGTTTGTCATTCCATCTTACAGCTCTCATTGTTCCACATTTAAAAAATCATGCTTCTCCTCTCTATAGGTTTATAGCTGCCATTTCCTGTGAAAAAAGTCTCTTTCCTGCATGTCCCATAAGCATAGCTTCCAACAGCCAGTAATTTGTCAACTTGATGAAGAGAAGTGTAAAAGTTGTCTATGAAAACCCATTGTCCTAGTCTATTTTACTTGTCCACCAGTTCCATCACAATGTTATCTGCCAGACCTCTAGCTGGAATTCTTCCTCTTTGCCTGATTTTAAAGCTCAGACATTATTCACTTGTAGCTTCTGTCAGTACCAATAACTTGATACCCCACTTGACAGGTTTCTTTGGTAGATATTGGAGGAAACCAATTCTACAGTTTGTTCCCAACATTTGCTCATCAGTGGATAGTTCTCTGTCTGGATGGTATTGAGTCATAAAGGATTTCAGAAGAAAGTCTATAATATGTCTAACTTTAAAAATTTATCATGATTAGGATCAGTTTTAGGAAGAGCAGTAGTATTATTATTGAAATGTAAGTTGTTATGAATAGCAAAAACCTGTCTCTGGATACGATATTTGTAAACCAAGGAGAAAAGGTAGACCAGTAGTCAGAAAGAGAAGGATAAGGCTTAAGACCTATAACTGTAGTGAGACCAAAGTAAGCTAAAATATACTCAACAGTAACATGAACCCATTTTATGGTCTTTTTTTTTTCTTTGGGGAGATTCACCCTGGGGTGCCAAATTATTGTGTGTGTATCAGTTTGTTTCTATTAATTTTTTTGCAAAACTTCTATTGTAGAAAAAAAAAGTTAACAAAATCAATGATACAAGTTGCTTAATTAGTTTGTTGTGAAATAGGTTCACCTCTCTTAAAACTAGATACTCATGTTTGCTCCTCATCATTAAGCTTTTCTCAGGTCCAGGTATCATTACAGGCAAGAGGCCTCTCCTTCTGGGAAGGTGCAGTCCAAGTAGGGGCTTTAGTTCTATCCCTTCCCCGACTTCCCTTAGCTCTCTTTCGTCTGTATGGGTAATTCTTCAGATTTACAATGCTACAATCAGGGGTTCAGTTCCCCTCATTGGACACAGCAGATAGCCCAATGGGTTTTTGTTATAAGAAAACACACATTCTTCTCTCTGAAAGTGGTAATGTTTGGTGTGATGTACCTGGCCTGGGTGATTTACAAACATCTTCATCTGATGAGGGTCCAGAAGACAGATTCAAGAAGAGCTTGTTTAGTATTTTTTGGCCATCTAGTTTTGTAACCAGATTCTGTCAGAGGCATTGAAAAAGAAGCATCAATTACTTCAGCTTCTAATTCCTCTGACACAGAGCCTCCTTCATCAGATGAGAATGAAGCATTTACAATAAACTCCAACTCTTCCTAGTGGGGAAGAAGCCCTTCCTCTTCATGATTTATTTTGATTTTTCTTTGTCAAAGGCCATTTCTTGAGGGAAAAAAATAATGTACATTACAATATATTCTCTATTGTGTATCTTAGACTTCAGAAACAGTACTAAACAGGAATTCCATACATATATTAAATAATGATTACTTACAAGTAATAGTAGTTATACACTTGTTCCTTCTCTGCTATGTCAGTGACTAACTCTTGATTTTATGAGACGAAATGTTGTAGAGAAATTTCTAGATTTTACAAGGCTGAATAACAAATGCAAAATGCTAGCCCAACCAAAACAGATTATTTTATTTTACTGTAAGCTAGTTGTTTATATGTGATGAAATGTTATTGAGAACTTTCTCAATTTTACAATGATGAAAGACAAATATGAACTGACAACTTTGATGTTACTATAAGCTAAGTGTTTATTGGTTGAGGTATAAGTGAAGTCAAATAGGAAATAGCATATTTATAAGCACATAGCCAAATAACTTTATATACTAAGCTATATCATAAACTTTTGTCTCATTGGAAGCACTGTAGTTTAAACAGGCCGATAAATTCTCTAATGTGTTGCAAGTCAGGGGGGGGGGGTTATGATAATCTATGTAGGACCACCAATTGCTTCATGACATGCTTGTTTCAGGCTGAGAGGAATTCTGCCAGTTGTGTTGGAAATGTCTAATTGTTGCTTTGTGCGTGCATGTTACTGTTTTTCGTAGGCTCTGTAATGACATGAATGGTAATTGATTTTCTTAGGGGTCAGTGGATTTCTGCTTTAGTCACTGGCAGTATAATAAACATACAAAACAGATGGGGAAAAGGTTTGAAGTAGAAACTTATTAGATAAATACTTTGTAACTTTGTGGCCACTAATGAAAAGGAAAAAACAGTACTACTAATGTTACTTCATATTTTTCAACTTTTTATTTCGTAGTATTTTGATGATTTGTCTACAGGATGGAGAGTCAGGTATAGTGTTATGGTAAAGAAAACTAGAGATAAAGTATAAAGTTTTACTGAAAAAAAAATTGTTATATTGATTTAGGAGGCTCTAGAGTTTATTAGAATAAATTATGAAAATTATGAAATAAAGAATAAAGAGAAGTATTTTTAATACCAGCATGAAAATCACCTTTCACCTAGACTGACTCAGTAAAAATATTGCAAATTCACAAGCTTTTATTTTGGTAAAATATTTTATAAAAAATTGATTTTTTTGTATATGAAATACATGTAATAATTACTAAGACTTGCCATATTTTGTGAATATACATTAAGTATAGAATGTTTACCTTCATGATATCAAGGTGGTTACGAGGTTGTGTAAAATACACAAGTATGTTGTGGAAGGTTATTCAGATGAAATCCGAAACCTGTAAACTGAAAAGAAGTATTTTTACTTATAGCAAGAAAACTATCTCACTCAGATTAGTAAAGACTCCAGAGATTCGCAGACAAAATTTTAATAAAAATCATTTTTGTAAATCATGTATTTTTTGTAAACAACAGACTTGCAAGGTTTATCAAAAGCTTGTCAAATTTTGTGAAGATACAAATAGTAAATTCAGAGTTATAGTATATATAGTTTTGTGTATAAGTATGGTTAAAATAGAAATGAATAAAAACCCTAAAACCCGAGCACTTACAAAAGGTGGACCTTTCTTCTTCAGGGGCAGACTGGTTAAAATGATTTTGAATATGCAAATCAGCAAGTCACATGGCAACCACAGCTGATTTAAATTCATAGTGGAATAGCATATATCAGAACTACATTTTAATTAACACTGTTTGGAATTTGTAGGTAGTGTGATGCCACCAATAATTGATCAGTTTTTGGAAGGATATGTAAAAGCAAAATATTCGTATACTCGGATCATAAAGATGTGATATGAACAAGGATTTAGAAAAATTTCTAAGATGGGGATATTTCTTGTACTTAATGCCATTGGAAAGGAAAATAATATATAACAACTTGGGGCATCAGAACTACCTAGAAAGAGATCTGCAACAACTCATACTCCAGTCATGGTAAGCAAAATGAGAAAACTGGTGAGAATCCACTAACACAAAGATCAGTGGAAAAACTGTCAAACTGTCCAAGCAACAGTTACTATATAAGAAACATCTCCACTTGAAAAAGTGGCAAAAGTCATATGCATAGAAGCTACTTCCACAGCATATCCGTGGAACTGTTGCATATTTTAAATAGCTGAGAATAAAACAAGTATTCATGCTATTTCATACAAAACAATACTGAAGAAATTGGTAGATGCAGTGCCTATGGATTTCTGTGCATTTGGATTTTTGAAACAGGTGTCAGAAAACCATTGTCTTCATAAACTAGATGGACTATTGAAAGCAAGCAGGAAAGAGCGGTGTGTTTTAGACATTGCAGTCTAACAACAGAGCCTTTTGCCATGGAAATAGTGCATGGTCATCAGATAGATTATGACCAGTTGACATAGTATGCATACTTACATTGTTTCTCACTCTTAACCAGTTGGTTTTGATTTCTGTCTTATGTGAATACAGGCATATTTAATTTTTAGCAAACAAGATTAGGCTTATACTTCCATTGTAATTTATTGCTCATTGCACCAGTCTTTCTGCAGTTTCATTCCTATATTGTGTACCATTTCACTGCTGTCTATAATTCTTGTTATGACTTGAAATTTCTGTAATACAGCATTTTTGCTGACTGCTGTATTACCACTTCATGTTTTGATCCACTCCCAGATGCCTCCTTTAGAAAAACAGTTGTATCTGAAACAAGGTACAACACCTAATGTACAGTAATTTTTAACTGGTAGAGCAAATTTGTTTTAGTTATGATATTAGTGCAAATTAGAATTTTATGGTACAAGTAAAATATTCCTCTACTTTCAGCAGACACGAATAATGTTTTTGGTAATTTCTAACCCAGAAGAGTAAATTTTTCTCTCATAGTTATAGAATTACTTTATAAAGTTAATAAGAGAAAAGAGTAAGTGTAATTTTTTTTTCTCTCTTACTATAGAAAGTTACTTTATACAATTAAAAGAAGCAAGCATAAACTTTTCACTCACAGTTTAGAAAATAACTTGGTACAATTGAAAAGAGAAAGGGTAAGTGTAAACTTTTCTCTTATAGAGTAGAAAATTATACAGTTAAGAAGAGGAAACCATAAACATTTCTCTCATAGAGTGAAAAATTATGCTGTTAAAAAAGGCAAATGCACACTTTTCTCTCATATTGTAGAATGTTATTTTATACAGTTAAGGGAAGTAGAATAGAAAGTGACTATGCAGTTAAGAAAAATGGTAAATGTAAGCTTTTCACTAATAGTGTGGAAAATTACTTTATCAGTTAAGAAGAGGTAAGTGCAAACATTGAGAATTTTGTACGTATAATTAAGATACAATATTTACACATAATAGTAGAAAGAAAGGAGAAGTGCTTTTAAAGAGGTTTCAATAGTTTACATATACTTGAAAGAAAATCAGTTAATATGTATTTGAAATAAGTGAGAAATATTGAAATAAACTTAGAAAGCACAATTCTTACTAAGGATTGTGGGTAATTAGAATTTTGAAATGCTTTAGTGAAATGTAAAGTGTTAGCTATGAGTTTTTCACTTCAACAATGAATGATTGAAATAAATGAAGTGGGAATTGATATGAATGATTGTGGATAGTTAAGTGAAAAATGTTAGGTAAGAGTTTTTCACTGTAAAAATGAATGATTCGACTAACATCAAGTAAAGCTGTTAGCTAAGAGTTTTCCACTGGAACAATAAATGATGGATCCAATATCAAGTGGAAATTGTTATGTATGATTGTGGATAGTACAGTTGTTAGCTAAACGTTTTCCACTAGAACAATAAATGATGGATCTAATATCAAGTGGGAATTGTTATGTATGATTGTGGGTAGTAAAGTTGTTAGCTAAACGTTTTCCACTAGAACAATAAATGATGGATCCAATATCAAGTGGAAATTGTTATGTATGATTGTGGGTAGTAAAGTTGTTAGCTAAACGTTTTCCACTAGAACAATAAATGATGGATCCAATATCAAGTGGAAATTGTCATGTATGATTGTGAAAACTGAAATGAAAACTGTTAGCTGAGAGTTTTTCACTAAACCAATGAATGATTGAACTTGAACTAACATAAAGTGTGAATTGTTATGTTTGGTTATAAGTAGTAAAGTAAAAAGTTAACCAGGAGTTTGTTACTACAACAGTAAATGATTGTAAGAATTGTCATATATAATTGTGGATAGTGAAGTAAAAAAAAAGTGTTAGTCGTGTGTTTTTTACTAAAAGAATGAATGACTAAAATAACACGAAATAGTTTACTTATGATTTCAGAAAGTGAAGAGACTAGTGTTAACCAAGAGATTTTCAATATAACAGTGAATGATTGAATTGAGTAGTAAGTTTTGCATTATATTGATATTTTGTAGATGGAAAACTATGATAGTTTAATAGGATTTAACCTGCTGAGTTATCGCTCATGTAAAAACTTGTGGAAGTCTTGTGTGGAATATCACACATTTTTTCGCTTACACACTCCTCGTCCCCCACCTCGTCGCTTCTTTTTCACCCTGGGTTCCAGGTTTAGGTACAGGTGAGAAATAGTTTTACTTAGTTTTAATTTTTTTTGATACTTTGAAATTTTCTTCTTATATCTGAAAAGAAATTTTTATTGTATTAGTTTTTATAAAAGTATATTTTATTGCATCAAAAGATATTTATGCAGCATGAAGCCATTCTCTCAAGACATGTTCAATTAAGAGAATAATAAAAAAATTATAAGGTTTATTAATGAGTGGCATACCATTTTTAATTATTATTTGAAAATTATGTTTCTATTTTATAATTCATTTTTTTCTGATTAAACAGTTCTGATGCACATGAAGGTTCAGTGATCATGTACACTAATTATGTCATTAAGCAAAACATTTGTTCACAACTGGTTTGTATATCAATAAAATTTGTAACAAACAGTGATCTTGTTTTTTTATTAACCCCTTATGTGTCAGGCTTTTTTTTTGGTAATGAGCTGAAAAAGTCAGTTTTTATTTTGCTTTTTGATAGTTTATACTTGTATATTAATGAAACAACAATTTTTTTATTATGGTTTATTATATTTCTGCACAAAATATACTTAATAAGTAAAAGCATATCTGGATGTATAAGTGATGTATATTATTTCAATGAAACTACAGTAAAGAATACAAATGCTTTTATCTAGTGTTTGTGACACATAACTCAGAATAAATAGAGTAGAGATCAATACAAACAGCATTCCCATTGCCATCTAGTGAGCAATGATTGCGATACATGACAACATGCAAATAAATTTGGAGTAATAATTAAAAATACAGAGATAAATGGTTTTTCCAAATTAACTCAGGCAAATATTTGTTGAAACATGGAGGGCATCTGAGTTATCTTGAGCAAACTGCAAAAGTTGTTAAAAGATTAATAGCAAATATTTCTTGCAGCTGTTTTTTGTGCTTCATGTATTTTAAAAATTAAACTGCTTTGATGCACGTAATTAGTTATAAACTGATAATGTTCCACTGCTGTTGTTTTGATGCAGCAGTTAGTGAATAATTTAATATTGTATTTAGATGAACTCAGTCATTTAAAATGTTTGTCAGTGCTAGGATACAATGCTTATGAAATGTTTGACAAAGAAAATGTTTAAAATAAATTTAGCCTTTTCTCTATTAGTAATGGGTTCCCATTTGTGTTGGTAGATTGTTGTGTATTAAAGTTAGTAATGTATGGCTTTTGGTGTTGAATTTTAAAACTGTACGTAATGAATGATTAACTGTTACTTTACAGTGGAAGAACAGAATACCAAACCTTAGAGGAGGGGAAGAGAAGAGCCCGGACAGAGAGAACCTTCATTAGGTAAGTGTTAGGAAGAGAGAAGTCCATTAGACAAATAAAGCTATAAATTCAATTTTACAGAAAAAGTCATCAGTGAGCAAGAAATAGATAGGACAAAGGACATTTATATGCTTCTTGTTTTTATTTTTCAGTTTATGCAGTGTAAATTCTTGTTTAAACATGAAAGTGTCTTGTCCATTATCTTTTGGAACAAGATAGGATGCAGCAAAATAAAAGAATAACTTTTAAACTAAGTTTGATTTTTAATCACAGTAGCTTCATAATTCTTGTGCTCATATCTAACAAAATAAGATGTCTCAGAAATGCTGCTCACCTCACTGCATCGCTAAGAGTTATTGCCTAGTGCACTGCAATGTCAGTACCTGCACATACCTATAGCTTTGAATAAAGCTTCCACTTCTACATGTATCAACATGTATTGCACCAGCTTATGATGTAGTCATCATTAAATTATAGCCCTCCAACATAATCCAATGTACGGGTTTTGACCAATACTTTTCAAGGTTGTCAGTAGGTTTATGAACCAATGCCATACTGGCTCATTTTCATTCTAATTGGTAACAAAAAATAAATAAAAAATTTCAGTTCTGAGAAGATATGTCACTTTTGCTCACAGTTTTGCTGTCTTCCCCATGTGTTTGCACATTCTGCCAGGGCGATTTACATGCCACTAGCCTTGTGAAAACTCCCTTCTAATTTCATATGGTTTTACATGAATTTGTAT